AGGAATGGTGGACAGAGCCAGTCTGAGCTGTGCTTTTTTAGACACCTCTGCCCTAGACCCAGCAACTTATCCATTCTTATAGAAAGAAGGTAGTCTTTTCCTGAACTCAGCAAGTGAAGCAAATCCTGTAGTAGTAATTTGCTTTTCAGTGCTGCAGGCTCAAACCCTCCCGATTCATACGCTGTGGGACTGTCAGTATCACAAGCAAGAGAACTTCAGCCATTTGAAAGTTAGGAAATGCTAGACTGACAGTTGCTTATGCAACCCAATTTCTACCCCATATATATTATGACAATCTTTGTATAGGTATTATACAAGATGCCTCCTCATAACAATGCACAGGATGAAATTGCAAATTGGCAGAACTAAAGCTTCAACTGACAGCTATCGATAACCCTTAACTTTTGCCCTGATTTTTTGCAAACTATGTTATTTTAATGTTCTTTTCTGTAATACTTATGGTGTTGCTTATCTAGAAATCATTTGTAAACCTGACATCATTTACTTTTCCCTGTTTAGCTCTCGAGCACATTCTCCAATGATAGCTGTTGGAAGTGATGACAACAGTCCAAATATTTTGGCTAAGGTTCAGATTTATGAATATAATGAGAACACCAGGTATGTTAAAAAATTAAGGTAATCTTTGAAAGCGACTTAAAATGGTTATTTGCTGGTGCATAACATATGGCTAGTTAAATAATTCTTGATATTGTGCTTAAAGAGAAGTAGAAAAATAATGCACTTCCTAGAGAGAGAGAGAGAAATTCCATAAAAATATGGACATGGAGAGAAGTCTCTGGAAACAGTTGCTCTGTATGTTGCTGTACGGTAGAGGAGAGGAATATCAAAATGTTGGCTGATGCTTCATGTAATGGACTTACAAACTTCTGTTAATCTGACACTTCAAATGCATTACTATTGCTGGAATTTTCAGAGGATCTAAGCCTCTGATCCTACTAACCCTTGTGTTTAAAGTTAAGTATGTGCATAACTTAGCAAAGCCAAGGTTAATATGGTTCTGTGATTGATGCTGTTGGTTTTTTAAGTCAAAATAGTAATTCGTGCACTATTATTTTTAAAAACTTGTAAAATATTTTACATTTTAATAAGTTATTGATAAAAATTCTTGCAAATCGTTTGCATGCTATAAAAAACTTTTAATGAAACATTAGGTTTGTAAAGTTAAGCATGCTTCGTTAAATAATGTAAAGATGTACTTGTGATATTTTAATTACATTAAATCATTCCATTGTCAAATACAGACATTCTAGAGTATGCCTGTAGCATAGTCAGTGAGGCATGGGAGTTGTATGGGCTCCTGGCTGTTTTTGAGTTTGTAGTTACAGTCAAGAAAATAAACACTGTTTATTCTGATATAGATGATAGCATAATTGGAACCTTGTGTACATGAGACAATGTAGTAAATGAAGCAGAGGTCTACTTACTGAACACCAATGATTACAATTAAATGGAAGTAATTACCGTATTTTTGTGCATATAGCCCACCCACGGGTATAAGCCGCACCCATGTATAACCCGTGGAAAATTGTATTTTTGTAAATTAATCCGTGTATACGCTGCACCTGTGTATTCCCCGCGGCGGCGTATACATGGGGAGGCGGTGCAGCCTGGTCTGCCCTGACCCCTGCCCTGACCCCCGCGGCAGTGGCAGCATAGCCTGGCCTGCCCAGGCCCAGC